GAGAAGAGAAGAGAAGAGAAGAGAAGAGAAGAGAAGAGAAGAGAAGAGAAGAGAAGAGAAGAGAAGAGAAGAGAAGAGAAGAGAAGAGAAGAGAAGAGAAGCGAAGAGAAGAGAAGAGAAGAGAAGAGAAGAGAAGAGAAGAGAAGAGAAGAGAAGAGAAGAGAAGAGAGGAGAAGAGAAGAGAAGAGAAGAGAAGAGAAGAGAAGAGAAGAAAAGAGAAGAGAAGAGAAGAGAAGAGAAGAGAAGAGAAGAGAAGAGAAGAGAAGATAAGAGAAGAGAAGAGAAGAGAAGAGAAGAGAAGAGAAGAGAAGAGAAGAGAAGAGAAGAGAAGAGAAGAGAAGAGAAGAGAAGAGAAGAGAAGAGAAGAGAAGAGAAAGGACGAGAAGAGAAGAGGCGGGAGGAGGAAGCCGGAAGATAGGAGAAGGAGGAAGAGAAGGGGGAGGGGGAGGAGGAGAGAGGAGGAGGAGGAGGAGGAGGCGGAGAGGAGGGGAGAGGGGGGGGGGAAGGGGGAGGAGGAAGAGGAGGTGAGGGACGGATGGGAGGGAGGAAGAGAGGAAGGTGGGAGGAGGAGAGGAGGTAGGAGGAGGAGGAGGAGAGGAGGAGGGAGGAGAGATGAGGAGGAGGAGAGAAAAGAGGAGAAGAATTGAGGAGGAGGAGGAGGAGGAGGAAGAGGAGGGGGGGAGGAGGAGGAGGAGGAGGAGGAGGAGTAGGAGGAGAGGAGGAGGAAGGAGGAGGAGGAGGAGGAGGAGGAGGAGGAGGGGGGAAGGAGGAGGAGGATGAGGGGGAGGAGAAGGGGGACGAGCAGGAGCTCGGCAACCGCCGAGAGGGGCGACCACATTCTTCATGCACGCACACACGCCCCGCCCCAGGGGGGGCGCCAGCCCCCCCAGGCTCGGCAGGGCCGACGACCCCAAAGGGCAAGGGCAGAAGCGACCGCCCCAAAACCGAGGCCCAACGAGGGCCAGGCAGCAAGGAGCCGCCCCGAAACCGCGGCCCAAGGAGCCCCAGAACCCCACGGGGTAGGCACCCCCCCCCAGGGCCAGTGGCCTCACTCGGGCCTGAGGACTGACAAAGGCACCCCTTCGGGAGTCCCTACCTCGATTTCACCGACGGCCAAGCGGCTCATCTTGGCGACTTCCTCGTCGGTGAGCTCCCTCTCCAGGTCGATCGTGCCGTTGCCGTCCGCCTCGCCCGAGCCGGCGGGTGGGCCTGACCAGGCCACGATCTCCTCGAGGATGCACGCCTCGAAGCCGTTGCCCTCCATCTCGCCGCTGGTCACCAGTCCGAGCATCTCGTGGAGGCTCGCCAAGAACATCTCGCGGGTCGCCGCGCCCCTCTCCTTCTCCTTCGCCGCCATCTGTGGACCGCCAACCACCGCCTGCGGCCCGACCACACCTGCCGCAGCGCCGCGGGCGCCCGGTGACCTTTCAGGCCTCGCAGCAGCACCAGAAAGGGCACCGGCCGCAACGCCGACGGCCGAGACCCCCCCGCAGATCACAGCGTCCACCAGCGCACTCTCCGTCTCCTCCACCACCGCCGTCATGGGGCCGCCAACCTCCGTCTGCAGCCCGACCACGCCGATGCCCGTGTCCGCGCGCAGTCGCCTGGCCGCCTCGGCCCGCTGCTCCCGCAAGTAGCAGCCCCCGTTCTCCCTGAAGAGCGCGCCCCACACCTTCTCCTTCTGCGCCGCCAACTGACAGGCCGTCTCCACCCGCAACTGCGGGAACGGCGGGATGTCCGCCGGCTGCTTGACCTCGTTGTGCTGGAACTCCGTCTCGTACTCGCCGTCGTACCTGTAGAACAGCTCGTCCCGCGGGCTGCTCATGGTCTCTGGCTCCGTGCTGTCGCAAATCGTGAAACACACGGGAGCCGACAGAAGCCCTGGTGCCTGAACAGCTGCAGCACGCCCTGCAACTTCCTTTAGTCCACCACGCGCGCGGACCGAGAGCGACGCTTCATCTCATTGTTCTTCTTATCCTTCTTGTCCTTCTTCACCTTCCGCCCCTCCTGCTCGGTTCTGTGCTCCACCGCATGGTTCTGAGGCCTCGCGCCCACCCAAGCACCTGGCGGGGCGCTGCTCCAGCCCGCTGCCGACGAGGCCGGCGACGCCGAGGCCATCATCCTCGGTGAGCGCGCCGCCGAAGCAGACCTGGAGCGCGAGCGCGCGGTCGTTTCCGTCGACCTTGCCGCCATCCAGCGCGCCCACCTCGTGCCCACCGTCACGAACTTGCACGACGCCTTCGCGGTCGTGCCCGCAGCGCCTCCGGTGGTGGAACGCGTAGGAAAAGGGGGCAACGTCGTCCTCGCCGTCGTCGGCCTCGGCGGCCCCCAATGCCCAGGAGGGCCCTCGATGTGGCCGTCCTCCAGCGCCAGAAGGGCCTGGGGCTGGGGCGAGGGAGCCCTGCTCGGCCTGACCAACGGCCGCGCCTTCGCGGGGATGCCCGACAGCTGCCTGCTGCTGCGGCTCGGGCCTCCCGCCGCCTGCATGGCGCCCTGCACC